TATATATCTATATATATATCTAGATATATATAGATATATATATATATATATAAAATATAAGAATAGAAATTAGGATTATTATTATTAGGACTTCTTCATGATGTATATTCTATGTATGCTGACCCATCTAGTTGGGTATATACTGTATGTTATTATTGATTTCATTCATTTATATAGTGCAGGCATTCCACAAAGCTTTACATAGAATGTTATGCCATCCATGATTGTCCCTACCGCCAAAGCAACATACAATTTAAATGGGTCCACTATAGTCACATCCTATAGGGTTATTGCTGCGTGGAAATCAATTAATGGATCAGTATGTGTTTTGGAGTGTCAACAAACTGAAGCAACCCATGTAAACACAAGGAAAAGGTAAAAACTTGGCTCGGGCAGAATCCTGCTGCAATAACAACTCATATCTGCAGTGCTGCAAAACTGCATTGGTAACTGCTAAGCCGCCATGATGCCCCATGCTGCAAAATGCTCTTGTTCATCAACATACACAATTACGGAAATTGTGTTTAACATGACAATTATACTTTTGCATCAACTGTGTTGGATGAAGAGGCAAATCAGTGAAGTGACCAAGTGTGCATTCACCTGCATGCAAATACTGTGGATATTCTTAAAACTGGTAATGGCTGATGGATCATGCCTGCTCCAACTATTAATTCAGAGAGGCAACCTTGTGGATTGGATCCTCTCTCACCCTGTGCTCCTCAAGGAATTCTGGGGTGAGCGTCCATGGTGCGTTCCTCGCCACCTCATCTACGTAGCGACAGTGCTGAACTGCATCATACCGTTCTTCCTCAGTCATCACTGTGAAGCCCTTCAGGTTATGTGTCAACTCATCACTACAGACTAGAAAAAGAAAAAAGTCATCCAATTAGATCGATTCATAGCACTACTAGAACACCATCATGCATAGGATGGGAACACATGAACATGTGATTAAACGCACATACAATGTGCTGACAGATGGGACATGTGACACGGAATGCTATATAAAAAGTGATAAGGGCTGAACAGTGAACCTCTAATGTACAGTTCTATGTGCTATTCATACAAAGCTGAATCAGGCCTACAAGTGTTAAAAAAGAAACTCTAGCAAGAAAAGTAAGTGTTGGCATGGAAGAGTCACAGTATTGATAAAATGCATTTTCCATATAAATTCAGGTGTAACCTGGTGCCAACCGATGTGCAGACACTTTGTATACTTTACTTCCAGAGGAAACGTAGGCATGTCTTTTCCTTTCACCTCTATGAGAGAAGCTTTTGTATACCTCATATAAGCCAAGCAAAGTCAGCAAAAAGCCTACAATGTTTCCTTGTGTGGTTACTAATTCAGCAAAATGATCAAAAATGTCCAACTCTCAGCAGCCACATAGGTCCCCCCTAAGCCGGCCTCCCCTGCCAAAGCCTTGCCTTACCTCCTACAATCAGGTATGTGTTAGGAAAGAGATTCTTTGCTTGCATTAAAGCTCGGGCATGTCCGGAGTGGAACAAGTCGAAGATACCGTCAGCATAAACCCTCACTGGTCTGTCAGCTGCAGAAACATAGAAAGAACACAAAATAATATTATGGGGCTTCCGTGCAAAAACCACATAGAACACTGGGGCAAAGAAAAGAGCTGTTGTTGCCCCTTTCAGATTTTATTATTGCAGTGCAGGTGAGAGAATTATTTTATGCTATAGAAATTTGCAATTTCTTTGCTCCAGCTTTCAGAAATAAGTCACAGGAATGTGAGTAGCTTAGCCAGAAGAGCCGAGAGCTGGCCCTGGGCCAAAGCACACATGGTTCCATTTGGTGGTCAGCCTGCCTGCCTGCCAGCCATAATACTGAGACAAACTCTCCCAAGATGGTGGACAGAGCACAGCATTGTGGATATTATCTGGCAATTGCAGGCTTTGATAGACAATAGCTGTATGAATCTGAACCTGAATCACCCAGCACCCCCATTACACACATTTGGCAGCAACACAAGTTACATCACTGATGCATCCCACCTGGCGACCAAGGCATGAGTTTAGCAACCTATCAGATTACTTACAGTACAGTCACAAGTAAAAACTGGTATCTGGTTTTGGGAGATCGCCTATGGGCTTGCGTACTCACAATGGTGGGCAGAGCTTCTGATGTCACTGAGCTGAGCTGGACAAACAGGTTTTTTTATCGCTTTATATATATTCTGTATTCATATACACACACACACCAAACCAATGATGGGCAACGCAACACTTTTATTAAAAGTAAAAACTGCCTGGGTGCACTCAAGGCAAATAGATACAAACAGTCCAGTGGAAGAGGCACTCACGGATCTTCTAATGAAGCAATATAGATACATTTATAGGTTGACATTTCCACAAGGCACGGTTTGAGAAAGAGAAGCAGTGAGAGAGACAGTATAGACATAGCTACCTACCTACCGCACACACACACACAATAAATTAAGTTAAAGCTGAAATGTTACCATGTTAGAACAATGTACTGCAAAGTAATATATCACTTAGAAAATTGTGAAATGCTCTTTTGTTGAGTAGCTGGGAAGTGTACAATGGAGGAGGAAATTACAAAACAGCCAAGCAGTGTATAGAGCTGCTGTAATGTAGCACTGCCAAGTTACTGCATTCTTCAGGCAATGGTGCTGCTGAACAAGTGAAGGTAGGCACTGTCACCTGACCTTATCACGTACACTTACATCTTTTGTGAAAATAAACAGATGTCTGCAAACTTAACACCTCAGAGTGCTGACAAATCTGACTTCTGTCACTGCAGTGTGTCCTGGAAGCCCCCATGATGAAATATTTTACCTACTGAAAAGCTGGACCTGACAAAAACCCCACAATGTGATGCAGGGCCTCAACAACCTATTGTGAGACAACCTACACTCCTCCATGGAATGAGCTGAAAGAATTTCTCAGCGTCATCATAGCTAAAACCTGGAATATACATACTCACTCAATTTGACATTGTTTTCCAAGCAAAGCAATAATGAGAAAGATCACAAAGCATCTATCATTGCGACCCTTGGCTGTCCCTACTTTACATACTGTAAAAATACAAACACTTACGTGGGGTTCCCCTTTTTGCTTCCTCCATTGTTACTCTTGTGTATGGCTTTTCATGGTCAATCAGCATTTCATCTGCAAACGGTGCAGGCTCGCACACACCCTGCAAATGATTAAGAAAACATTTGTATATTACTGCCCATCAGAAACAGTAGCAAATATAATGGCCACAGTGCAACTACAAAATGTGCCACCAGTTCTGGATTTTGTATCTGCTACACACATTGCAGTGGAAAATTGCAGAAGAAATGTGGCCTATTAGACGCTAAAGTGTTCCATTTGTTTAGGCCCGGTTCACACCTAGGAGTTTATGAGCAGTTGAAAAAGCGCTTTTAAACACCCAACACAAGAAATCCCATGATTTTCATAGGCCCCAGTTCACACCTGAGCAGCAAAATGCCAGCAGGGTAACCCCAAATGCGCAAAAAGGTACATGAGCTTCTTTGGGCAGTTTACAGCACATTTGTCCCCATAGACTTCAATAGAAACACCTGAAAACGCGCAGGAGAAGCATGGTGCACATTTTTGTGAACGTTTTTGCACGTTTGTACGCATGTTCGCCCATTGCCCGCAGTGTTTCTCAAGCTGGCAGTCCAAACGCACATAAAAATGTGCACAACGCGCATAAACATGCAAATAACCGCACGCTAAACACACGTGGAAAAAAAGCGCAAAACCGATGCTGCCTGGGCGTGAACCCGGCCATATAAGATCAGTGAAAACATCAAATAAACCGCAGTGTGTTGTTAATAATTTGTTTCATTTGGGTGCAGTTTCCTTTGTATGAAGTGAGCAACACCCAACCTTGTATTGAATGGACGCCAGACCAAAGTTCCATAGAGTCTTCTGTAATTCAATCACAGGTCTGAAACCTAAGTCATCACTTATTTGGTGTGGTCTGAAATCTTCTGTTGGACTGCAGTTACATAATGTGATCGGTAACTGTTGACAAAACTGGTACCCCCAAAATGTTTTGGCTGTTTTTCCTCTGCAATTGAACTAATAAAGTCATGTTGGACCTTTTCACCCACTTAGTCTGGCGCCCATTCAATATATATGTCTACATTCCAAGTTGCTTCTGGATAGTCACCGAGGGAAGACAACTGTTATGCCATTGGAGTTGCCTTACCAGAGCCAGTGAGCTTGCTTGGAAAGCTTTTGAACTGTTAAAGATTAAATATATTAATCTGAATATAGGACCTGAGATTATCTGTACCAGTTGAAGGTACCTCAAAACTAGGGTTGCACAGATACCAAGTACAGTACTCGGTACAAGTACGAGTACATGTACCGATACTTTTGAGCTCCAAAAGAAAAATTCAGAAATTAGGAGGCAGCTGTCATTTGTAAGGAGCACACGGAGCTCCTGGGATTTGGACATCTCTGTTTTAATGTACAATTTTGTTTTTATAACTATAAATAAAAGGGATGCACAGATACCAGTTTTGCGAGTACGAGTACTGGTACTTGCCGAGTACTTACAAGTACGAGTACTGATACATTTTTGTTTATTGTCATGTGACAGTTTTTCTAAAACAATACAGACTAATGATTTCAGGACAGTGGTGAAGCGCCAGAACCAGGTCCCAGCTGCAACCGCTGCAACCCTGGTAGTTCTCATGAAAATGCCAAGTATCTGCACTGGTACTCGAAAAGTATCTGTGCATCCCTACTCAAAACTAGCCTGACCACTGTCTGATCTTCTTGAAAACAAAAACGTATCAGGTGATTATGAAAAATCTCCGTGATTCGTTTTAAGGGAACAACTACAGTATCCCTTGTATGTCATATAGTTCTAGCTATTCTTTATTTCTGGATTCCAAGGCCCTTTATCACTGGCATTTCCCTACAATTCTGGAGTGGCAGGAAATACTCCCAAGGGCCATTATAGTCAGAGTGTCAGGATCCACCCGCATTATTCTAGAGAAACAAAATGAGAATCTAGCGGCATAGGCATGATGCGATTGTTACGGCCCCCAAAGGAATGCAGAGACAGGAACTACGGCATGAGGATATGTTAACATAAAGAGAATAAGGAAGCTGCTAAGTATCCCACTGATGTAAACTAAACACAATAATGAAAATCAAAGTCATCTTTAATTCCTGTGCTGCCGTGTTTCCTCATTTCCTACACTGTGCACAGTTATTAGGCAAGTGAGTGTTTTGACCAAATCACCATTTTTATGCATATTGTCCAAATCCAAGCTGTATAAACTTGAAGGCTTATTGGATTTAAGCATATCAGGTGATGTGTATTTGTGTAATGAGGGAGGGTATGGCCTTACAAGATCAACACCCTATATCAAGGTGTTCATAATAATTAGGCAGCTTCTTTTCCTCCAGCAAAATGAGCCAAAAAAAAAAAGAGATTTAACTGACTTGGAAAAGTCAAAATTGATAAAAAGTCTTTCAGAGGGATGCAGCACTCTTGAAAATGCTAAGAAATTTGGGCGTGATCACAGAACCATCAAACGATTTGTTGCAAATAGTTAACAGAGTCACAAGAAACGTGTTGAGAAAGAAAGATGCAAATGAACTGCCAAAGATTTGAGAGGAATCAAACGTGAAGCTACCAGGAACCCATTATCCTCCAGTGCTGTCATATTCCAGAACTGCAACCTACCTGGAGTGCACAGAAGTACAAGGTGTTCAGTGCTCAGAGACATGGTCAAGGTAAGGAGGGCTGAAACCCGACCACCACTGAACAAGACACACAAGTTAAAACGTCAAGACTGGGCCAAGAAATATCTGAAGACAGATTTCTCAAAGGTTTCATGGGCTGATGAGATGAGTGACTCTCGACGGTCCAGATAGATGGGCCCATGGCTGGATCAGTAACGGGCACAGAGCTCCACTTCGACGCCAGCAAGGTGGAGGTGGGGTACTGGTATGGGCTGGTATTATTAAAGATGAGCTATTTGGACCTTTTCGGGTTGAAGATGGACTCAAACTCAACTCCCAAACCTACTGCCAGTTTTTAGAAGACACTTTCTTCAAGCGGTAGAACAGCAAAAAGTCTGCAGCTTTCAAGAAGACCATGATATGTATGCAGGACAATGCTCCATCGCATGCATCAAAGTACTCCACAGCGTGGCTAGCCAGTAAAGGCCTTAAAGATGAAAGAATAATGACATGGCCCCCTTCCTCACTTGACCTAAACCCTATTGAGAACTTGTGGGCTCTTCTAAAAAACGGGAGATTTACGGTGAAGGAAAACCGAACACCTCTCGGAACAGTGTCTGGGAGGCTGTGGTGGTTGCTGCACAAAAAGTTGATAATCAGCAGATGAAGAAACGGACAGACTGCATGGATCGAAGGCTTATGACTGTTATTGGCTATATTGGGCACTGATTTTGTTTTTGAAAATGTCAGAAATGTTTATTTGTAAATTGTGAGTTGTTTGTTTATTATTCTCACTTTAACAGATGAAAACAAACAAGTGAGATGGGGACATTTCCCTTTTCCATGTAGTTGCATAATAATCCTGCACACTAATAGTTGCCCAATAATTGTGCACACCCAGGTATTCTCCTGAGAAAGCCAAAACCTCACTTTTACTTTCTTAAATATTCAGGTTTCTCAACCTTTTGGATTGACCGAGAGCACTGGAGTTGTTCAATCATGAAATGAATCCTCAAAAATACAACTTGTCTAATAATTGCGCAGTGTCCACGTTCTGCTTAGGGTTAAAGGGAAATATTTGGGAGAAGTAGCGCACAAGACAGTGCAAAACGTTCTCTAGTTTTGAGGCTGAAAATCGACACACCATCAGAATGGTTATATGGAAGGGGTAGCCAACCTTGGCTGTAGTGATACTACAAATCCCATCATGCCCATACCTCTGGGAGTCATGAGTGTGGCTGCGAGAGTCTTGCAATGCCTCATGAGACTTCTGGTTCCACATTAGCTGGAGTGCCCAGGTTGCCTACCCCTGTTATATGGTAAAGATTATTTTGTCAAATAGTTCCTGTTTCAGAGTAAGTAAGGAGATTTCAGAACAGAACTATGTAGACAATCTGCTTTTGTGTGGGAACATGAATAATCTATTGTAAACTCATGCAGAGAAACAAAATGAGGATTATTTGTTTACATTTAAACATTATTGTGTTGGCAGCTAGCTGCTGCATTTATTAAAACCAAGATCACATGCTGAGGTTTTGACAAAAGGCTTTTAGTTTCCTATGGAAAAGAACTGACCCAGCCTAACACAGGATGAATATGGTGAAATACAAAAGGTAAAAGATTTAGTTAATAAACAATTACTTTTTTTTTATTCATGACTAGGCAGGTTAAATCTAAGGAACATTAAAAAGGAGCTATTAGCTTAGGTTAAAGAAGTGGGGGATCCCCACCTGGCTTCCTGATTAGCCGGGGGGGCGTGTAAAGACTCGCCACCCAGTTGCCCGATTAGCAGGGAAGCCGTCCCCATACTTCTCGTCACTAGGTGACGAGAAAGCATGGAGCCAGCTTTCTGGCCAATCAGGAAGCCGGGTGCCGCTTAAAGGAGAACTATGAGGTGAGTGCTTTTCACTCACCTCATAGTTCTAGCCGACCTGTGACAATGAAACTATGACAGGTCGGCTCAGTAGATCGGGAGGTGAGCGAACACATATCGACGTTCGCTCACTTCTCGATCCTGTCACGGCTCTCTGCCGTGACAGGGGAGGGGCCGGATTCCCCCCTCCATCCGCCAGCGCTGACTGGCGGAACGGACGGGGGAGGGTACAGCTGGCTCTGCCTCTAGATAGCCAGAGCCAGCTGTCACTCACGCAGCTGGGCGGATCCAGACATAATTGTCGGGATCCACTTCAGCGTCTCAGTATACCGCTAGCAGCTGCTCGCGGTATACTGCGGCATCTCAGTATACCGCGAGCTACAAGTCGCGGTATACTGAGTTTAGGGTGACGGGAGGACGCTAGTTTGTGTCCTCCCGTTACCCTAAGGAGAACTATGGGGAAAAGACTTAACCCCATAGTTCTCCTTTAATGACGTGGAGCGAGCATGAAGCCGGTTCCCAGCCAATCAAAAAGCCGGGCGTCGCTGCCTTACACAGCGCCCGGCTTCCTGATTGACCAGCTTCCAGACCAATCAGGAAGCCGGGCAGCGTGTAATGACTTGCTGCCCTTCTTCCTGGTACCGGAAGTATCGAGCTAGGCATCGGAGCATTTGGGCGAGTACAGGTACGTGCCCAAATGCTCGGTATCGGTGCATTCCTAACAAATATTATCTACATAAAGTTACCCAAATCCAATATATTCCACTACAGTGGACCTTCAAGGGTCCAGGGAAATCCTTAAACTGAAATATTTACACTTCCTCTTTATTTAGCCAAGTTACTCAGACAGTGGTGTGCTCATTTATAATATTAAAGGACGAAATGTTTGAAATTCCAATTGTGACTGCTTTTTTATAGTTAAAAGGTGATGTGGTAATAATTACCTACATATCATTTATACTCGGTTTCAATTTACAATTTAAATGGGTCAGATCTCACGCCTGCCAAAACAGAGCGTTCTTCCTGAATGGGCCCAAATCGTTGAAGAAATGCTCAGTGACAAAACTGAAAAGCCACACATGCATGGTGGAATAACAACCGTGTGCTGCATTAAGATCAATGTACAAGGTTACATCTGTCACATGTGACACTGCTGTCCCTGGTCATCTGTACTGCACTTTTGGGCGATTCTTCCCTAACCACTGAAAGACTATGAGCCAATGACAGGATATTTCATGTACATACTTCCCCATCTAAAGTTTCTAATGCTCACATTTTTGTTTATCAACTTCTCTTTTTATTTATTCATGACCCTCATAAACGTTTAACTGTTCAGTGTCAAGCTCCCTTTATATTTTGCTAAAAAGAATGAAGTTGGTGCAGATGAGATTGTAGTATAGCTGCTTCAATCCATTTGATACCTTTCCTCGTTTTTTTCTACCAGTACAAATGACAGTTTCCCCTTTAAAAGGAGAACTACCACAGCGGGGTATTTTTAGTCACAATTGCATCTTATTTAAGGTTCCCCCATGCAGAGAAGTCATTGTCCCGACGATTCATGTTATACCATTAGATGACTGACACAGAAATGAGGAAGACTAAAGAAAATAAAAAAGCAGCAGCCATGCACTGCCACCTGGTGGACAATATTGATATTGCAGATTACGAATGAATACATACCTAGTGAGTCACTGATCTGGAACATACATGCAGCTAGTGAAATGTGAACTCTCATTCTGCATGTTTGTTCTAGGTCAGTAATTCACTATGTAGTGAACCTAGGAACTGGATGACAGGCTTGGAGATTGCACCATTAACACTAAAATAGCAAGGCAGGCTCCCCTATTTTCATTCTCACACATTCCATTTAAGCAAAGGGAATAAATAGGTTATATTACTCTACACATCCACTTTTAATAATCACGTATGCAGACTGTCCTTTAGGCTTAGTAGTGCTATAGAGTGGTTGTGCTTTACTGATCCTTTTCTTCAGGACAAAATCTACCTGTCAGGTCTGCCTGGCTGAAAACAACATACTCTGTCTGAGATTTTATCTTGGCAATTGTTGATCATGGAGGTTGCACAGTGGAAATGAAATGCAGGCAGAAAGTAGGGAAAATACCTACAAGCTTGTATATGTAATGATGTACTGGAATACCACAGCAAGCATGTAGAAACATGAAAGCCATATAAAAAGATAATCATTGCTTAGAGCAAATAATACTACCTTTGTGGTACTAGCAAAATAAATGCCACCATATTTAGTCGGTTGTTCTACACCAAATGTATGTTTCTTTAAAGGAAACACTTTGAATTGCAAGATATAAATAGTGCATGCACGCAAAACTATGGGGTCTGTTTATAAATGTTTTCACACAAGATTCAGACAACTCCATGCAAGATCCACAGGTTTTCGAATTGGATTTGATTGAAAAATGTAGGGTGAAAGTTGTGTGAAAACATTTATAGATACCTATGTGTCTTGTGTCTTTTCCAGCTGGTCCCTCACCTGCTGTGCAGGACCTTAGATTCTCCTATGACCTATTGGCTACAGCTTTGCTGGCTGCATATTTCAGAGTTACTTAAATGGGGAAAAAGGGGGAATGGGTAGAAGCGGTGTTTAAAAGGAGAGTGCCACACCCCTGGTTTTAGGTTGCAAAAAGAGGGTATTTTGGAGATTGGGGTTTTTTAGGCACTCGAGACAATAGTTTGATATAAAAATTAGAACTTTTATTCAATACATGATTAAAAAGACGAGCTCATATTTATAAAAAAAGAGAGAAAGCCGATTCAAGGAGAACACCAACAAGCTCCACCAGAATCCTGAATTATGACTAATTGTAGTCACATAAATAAATTATTAAATTCATGCAAACAGATTTTTAATTGTAGGTCGCACCCCCTACATTCTGGTTGGCATAGCCTAGTTGACTAGACAGCCGAGAAGTTTAATCATAGTATTTGACATCGAATCAAGATGGAACAAAAGATATTGTTGGGTGTTTGCGACCATCCATTACCTCTAATTGTATTTGGTATGGCCCTTGGAAAAAAGTGATTGTTAGATACAGTTGGTTCAAGGTTGCTATCCTAACAATGGTTTATAGTCTCTTTGTCGAGTCAACTGGCCATGTCAACCATTAACAGTCATTAGTGCGTTGCTGCATTTTATATTGTATACAGAGTCTCAGAGAGGTATAGTCTCGCAGTTTTTTGATTCAGGAGATTGGGGCTGGTGGAGTAGCGACGACGCGTTTCACGTGTTACCACGCGAAACTCAGGTCTGAGGGTGTTCAGTCCCCGGATGAGCCAGCGGATGCCCTCGTAGAGTATTGTCAAATATTTGAAGAGATTTCGAGAGTTTTTTCAAAAAGTTTTTAACTTTCGTCCAGACAGTGGAATGAGTCAGTCAAGATAACCGCATCTGTATCTTGTACAATTGTCCGGCAAGCCCTGCTCGGATATACAGCGATGGCCTCTCATGGAATGAATTATTAGACACACATGCAGGGTCCCAACAAGAATGTACAAGATACAGATGCGGTTATCTTGACTGACTCATTCCACTGTCTGGACGAAAGTTAAAAACTTTTTGAAAAAACTCTCGAAATTTCTTAGTATGCATATTTTGTATCTGGCATTTTCAGTGTTTGCATTAAAAAGACACTTTAGTTCTGCATTATTAAAGCACCATTTGCCCTAAAATAGGGAAACAATTATTATTGTATAATTATGTTTTGAGCACCAGATGAAAACCCAAATCAAATGTATTGCCATTAGAACGGTCTATGAATGAAGCATTATTTTCTTTGTGTTGAGCAGGCTGGATAATAACAGTCGCCAGATTTTTCTCTGCAATTTTGGTCACGTACTGATACAAATGAGAAAACGTGTCTGTTTGTTGCTTGGCGCAACATAGAGCTTTGGCCCTAGGGGTCTTTGAAGTAATGTCTTTGTCCAAAACTGTTAAAGAAGAACTATAAGGTCAGTGTTTTTCCCCATAGTTTTCCTAAGGGTCACGGGAGGACAAAAACTAGCGTCCTCCCGTCACCCAAAGCTTAGTATACCGCAAGCTACATCTCGCGGTATACTAAGACCGCCGCAGCCGGGACGGATCCCGACATTACTGTCAAGATCCACCCAGCTGTGTGATTGACAGCTGGCTCTGCCTATCTAGAGGTAGAGCCAGCTGTACCGGCCCCCTCCCCCCATCCTTTCCGCCAGTCAGCACTGGAGGGTCGGAGCGAGGAGGGGGGAATCCCTGAGTGACAGTCACGGCTCTCTGCAGGGAGAGGATCGATAAGTGAGCGAGCGACAGTATGTGTTCGCTCACTTCCCAATCTATTGAGCCGACGTGTGACAGTTTCATTGTCACACGTCGGCTCGAACTATGAGGTTGAGTGAAAATCATTCACCTCATAGTTCTCCTTTAAGTGACACTGAAGAATATCTCCAGAGAGGAACAGATATTTTGTGTCATTGTAATCATTATCAGAAATTTGTTTGCTGTGCTGCCTTTTTGCTTTGACATGCTGCCATAGTGATCATGGGTTAGGATGCTGATGGCGTGTTTTCAATACAGGAAGCCCAGGAGTAGTAAAAAAAAAAAAAAAAAAAAACCCATAATGAACTGACTAACTGAAATTCCAGTATGATGAAAACTAAGGAGATATGTGAGCCACAGAACACAACCCCCAATTACTAACCGTCATATATCGGGGAACCTTTCTAAGCACCGATTCTTCATCTGTTGTTCCATTGGATCCTTCAACATCTTTTCTTCTCTTGCGGGAGATGAGCTTTGTTGTGTTCTGAGACTCCATTAGTGTGATGGGAGGGTGTGACTTGTAGGAGGTTTAAATAAATATTTCATATGTTTTCTGGTTTCCTAAAGAGAAAAAACAGATCTTCAAACCAATTCACACAGTTATTATAAATATTCAGCCCTTATATTCTGCACAAATATGACAGACTATGATATATAATTCAATGTCAGTGATGTTTGGTGTATAGGGCATGAGAAACACAATTGGAAATAAGCTTTGTGAGACTCAACAGAAAGTCATTTCTTAATTGCATCTGGGATTTGACATGCGGGGCAAAACTATTGGTTCACAGGCTACCAAATACTCACCTTTGCCACTCCGTTCGACTCCTGGGAAGAAGCTGCTCTGTGTAATCCATGCGTTGCTGCAGTTGTAATTTACACAGGGCTATAAACTCTCCCCATATAGTATACGACAGGATTATTAGCCCCGGGATATCACGTGGAATGATTCATATGCCCTTTCATACCTGTAAAGACCATGCAGACTGAATGGAACAGCAGGAGAGGAAAGGAAAGGGTAGTATGTGCTGAGGAGAGAGGGGAGGGGGATTGACACTAACTTGTTTCTTTGACCTACACAAACAAATTGCACCTTTGCTTTAAAGCCTAACTCCAGCTTAGAAAAAAACAAAGCAAAATGTTACCAGTTCCTGGCAGCTTCTGAAAATAAAAAAGCAGCCCCAGCTGAGATGCAGCACTGTGTCATTCAAATCTTCCTGTGAGCCCAGGGCATCAAGGTTCTTCCCTCCACCCTGAACCCAAGGGAAGGCTGCAGATAAGTCCTTAAATGATGCCAATCTCTGCAGCAGTCAGAGCCAGAGAACCCACTGCCAGAGAAGAAAAGAATAAAGAGTGCCTGTGATGTCATCAGGCAAGGCTAAAGACACTTAGAAAAAGGTATGCAAACAGATTTTTTTTCTTGGTTGTGGGGGTGCTTCATGAGGTGGGGTGGTGGGCTACAAAAGAAGGGGAGCCCAAGCCTGGAGATGGGCTTAAACGTAAAAGCAAAAAAATGTTAGATCAATAGTATTTGCCTAAAATTTTTTTTTTTATATATATATATTTTTTTTTAAAGACAAGACATTCTGTGATTGGAGGAGGAGAGGAGGGGGTGGAGATGTGACATCATCGCTGGAGATGTGACATCATCGCTCCTCCTCCAATCACAAAAAAAATGAAACATAACAAAAATGTCTTGTATTATTTGTATTTGTATTATGCCCGGAGCACTGCACAACTCAGGTTGCTCTTCCCCTTTTCAGTGCCCGGAAGCTGGGTGTTGTGTGCAGGAGATGGTGCGCTGCAAGGTAAGATTTTCTTACTTTGCAGTGGCCCTCTGTACACAACACCCTTTGCAGTGCGTAAACTATCAGTTTGCCAAGTAATGGTGCAGTGCAAAATTCAGCTTTGAGCTGAGGTTTCTCTGCATATTGTACTCTGATCATGCTAAGCAACACTGCCTATAAAGGTCATCAAGTGGTTAATAAAGCAGGAAAAGGTTGGACCCTTCGTTTTTACTGCTCTCTGAGGCCCCATTGAGAAGACTACCCCTTATTTTCTATGCCAATGTTGTCACTATTCTCACGATATCTGTAAGTACACTGATAATTTTTGTTTGTCTTAGAGAAGATGATATCAATGAACTGTAAGCCCTCACGGGTAGGGCCCTCCTTACCATCTTGTCTTCCTTATATTGTAAAGCGCTGCACAAACTGTTTGCCTATCAGTTTGCCTGGAGTGTGGCTTTAAAAATAAAGAACACAATAAGTAATGGTGCAGTGCAAAATTCAGCTTTGAGCTGAGGTTTCTCTGCATATTGTACTCTGATCATGCTAAGCAACACTGCCTATAAAGCAAATAATACACCCTGTAAACCTGTGTATGCCCAGCCAACATTTTTGTTGTTAGATAGGGTGGGGAAGGACACCAGTCAAGTTTTTACTTCTGTCCAGTGTTCGGTTATGTAAAGATTTCTCCTCACTGAGGCTGGATTCACACTGCTCCAGGTGCATTCAGCGTAGGTGTTATCAGGCCCATATAGTTTCCCTTTCACACCAAACTGCATCACATGTGAACCAGCCACATACAAAATAATGGGGTTTCTACTTGCAATGTATCTTCATGCTGCAGAAATGCCGGAGTTTTGCTCTTACTTCCACCAGGCAGGAGGAGATGGAAATCTACTACAGGGACACTGGCAGGAATATAAAATAACGCTAGCCAAAACGTCTTTTTACCTACTTGCCATCCGCCCACTGTTTCTGCACTTTCGGACGGCTGTCCACTCCCGGAGGGATCATGCAAATACACTTCTTTTTTTTTTCCTTTTAGCTTGCCTGCTTCCCGTAGTGCAGTCACAAGCAATCAAGTTTAAACACACTGTCCATTGGACAGTGCAGATTAAACAAATTGGTGCTGAGCCAGCAAAAATCGGCTCTGTTCTGTGTGATCGCTGTGACCAATCACAGCAGATCACTGAATGGAAACATTGTTGCTGTTCCCAGCGATATCTCCTCATCTCTCACTCATGTTCGTTCATGAGAGGAGAGGAGACAGCGACAACCATTTCAAACAATACTTTGTTATCCAGCACATTCTAGCAGACATTTATGAAGAAAGATTATTTATGTGCAATGTTTCATAGCTTAACATAGGGAAAACAGGTTATTTTTAAACTTTTCAGTAATTTTTCCTTAATATAGTAAAAAAGAAAAAACTCAGGGGTGATTAAATACCATCAAAAGAAAGCTCTATCTGACCCCCCAAAAAATATATAAAATTCATTTCGGTTTAGTGTTGCATGGCTGAATAAATGTCAAATTACAACAGCGCTGAACACTGAAAAATGCCCTGGACAGGAAGGGGGTTTATCACCCCGGTCATCAAGTGGTTAATACAGGAAAAAATAAAAACCCAGGTGGTGATTAAATACCGCCAAAAGAAAGTTCCATCTGTCCCCAAAAAAATTATATAAATTCATTTTGGTACAGTGTTGCATGACAAAATAATTGTCAGTCAAAGTACAACAGCGCTAAATACTGAAAAATGGCCTGGACAGGAAGGGGGTTTAACACCCCGGTCATCAAGTGGTTAATAAAGCAGGAAAAGGTTGGACCCTTCGTTTTTACTGCTCTCTGAGGCCCCATTGAGAAGACTACCCCTTATTTTCTATGCCAATGTTGTCACTATTCTCACGATATCTGTAAGTACACTGATAATTTTTGTTTGTCTTAGAGAAGATGATATCAATGAACTGTAAGCCCTCACGGGTAGGGCCCTCCTTACCATCTTGTCTTCCTTATATTGTAAAGCGCTGCACAAACTGTTGGCGCTATATAAATCCTGTATAATAATAATAATAATAATAATAATAATAATAAATGAAGCATGATTTTCCTAAGCTAGAGTGAATATGTGAAACCAATTCCACCAACACCTGTGGACCATAATTATAGCTGAGCCAAAAGAACACAGAGTTCATGTGTGACTGGAGTGGTATGTACTCAGTGAGATGGGCAGTGTGCCCTCTAATGACATCTCACATTTCAGGCTGGACTTGGCATTACAAATCAGAATAGCTGGAAGCTGCAAAAGGCCTCGTATTCTAACAGTGTTAGAGGAATATACTCTCTAGTTTCCAGCTAAATTATCACTAGATGCTTGGTAAACATCATCCTCTGATATGGTTTTCCTATTGACAGAACAAATTCCCTCGCCGATATCATCAATTTGTATATGAGCTGAAACACACAATTCCAAAACAAGAAGGAATGCTGGATTTCTGTCCGTTTCACTAGGGAACAGCTTGTAAAGGAAAGCATGTGCAATTCTAGAATTACCTGCTACAGGAATAAAACTCATGTTTGGAAGAGACACCATAGAGCATGCCTAGGCAAATGGTCCCAAAATCTATTATCCTTAGAATATAGGAGCTCCCTTCCCCCGCACTACCCTCCATAAAAGATACGGTTAAAGCTGCTCCACTATGGTTTAAGGCAGTGGTTCTCAACCTGTGCAACCTCGGGACCCACATTTTTCCTTGGTCATTAAGTCGTGACCCAAAAATGATTCATTTCTGAGACATTTTCATTTATTACACAAAACAACTTGTGCACGATTCAGCAACGTGTATATATTTATATATATATAT